TCCGAATTTTTATAAAATCACACAGATACTGCCTGGCTTCCAAGATGCAAAAATAATTTGTATAGATAGTGCACCTTGAACACCATTTTTTATGAATGCTGGGGACTCAGTATTAAAAGGATAATTTCAAAATATATAGGTCTGGGAAAGGTTTAAGGCACACTGCGTCGCTATAGAATGAATTGCGCTACTATTTTCACAATTGTATTGATATTTGGTGTCAAATACACATATCTTGATATATTTGAAGTCCCAAAACGGCTTAGTTTCAGAAATATCTCAATTTTAAATTCAAAAATGACCGTTAGCTCCGCACCCTCCGCTCATTTGCTCCGCACCCAATATTTCCCACAGGCTCTGTCTGCATAGGGTGGGACTATAAACTATAAATCTCAGAGCAACTTTGTGTTAACATTGTGCCTAAATATAACATGAGAAACATAAACGATGCAATAAAATGTTATGATCTAGCTTTTGACTTTTGAGTGATATCTCTCAAATAAAGAAACAGAACGAGGCACAAAAGGCAGCAATTGAAATGGCACTAACCTAGAAATTCACATCAAACAAAAGTTAATAAGATAGGATATAGAAATTAAGAAAAGCATGGCAGTTATCGTGTGCCTTTTTGTAAAAATACAATATGTACAAGGAAACCGTCAAGTGGAAAGAATGATACTGTAGAAATAACTTTTTTTGGATTCAGACAAGTGATAATTTACTTGTCTTGCAACCCCGCCCCTTCTGCCACTTGCATAAGATTACTTGGTATTATTTGTTCATCTTAATTGATTATAAAGCACTATAATATAAATGTATGTTACCCAATCCGTCCGTTTAAAGAAATTAATCAAACGATAAGTTCCTTACAAGAACAGTTCCATTATGTTTGCATCGCCAAACAAATCTCATATTTAGAAGTCTTTATCATATATTTAAGTGTTCTATGTCTAAATTATCAAATATATAACATAAATCCAGAGCCCTAAAAACGAAACGATAACTTTTTGACAAAAATGTTTTAATTACTTGGTTTTATCGTAAGTAGATTGTTTTAAGAATAAACATGTTGGGACTGTGGTGATAAATTATATTCATGGGCAGAAATACGGAAAACTGAATATCCTCGTCAGTGGAACTAAACGAAGACTGTTGGTATGCGCTAAATCCCAGAATGCCCAGACAATAGAAACCATAGAAACAAGCGGGAGTATGGAAAACTGGAAAATGGATTTTGTCATTATTTTCTTGATCCTGGGATTATCGGGTGAGTAGATCAATTTCAAAGCTAATTTTATATGGTTTGAGTTTGTTGAAAGTTATTTTCTTAAAAAACGTGTTGGCCATTTCTGGTTCTGCGTTTTTGGAGAAACATTCCTGGTAGCATTCAAAACTTTATCAGTTACCCATAAAGATCTAAAAAGAAATGCAGAAGCTGTTGAAAAGTTAGAATAACATTATTATAGGGTCTAAAATGGTACCCCGTATCTTATTTGTATCAGTTACGTGCACTCTCCCTTGCATTTGTTTGGAAATCGATCTAGCACTTGTATAACGTTTCGTGCACCGATGATAAACCTTATTAAAGGCAGAATCAAATCTATGGGGGTGACAAAATTACAAGCAACAATTAACCTACTAATCTATTCTTTACAGTCTCAAATACAATATCTCCAAAAAGATTCATGATGTGTTATAAATTGGTGAAGTTATAATGGATTCAAAGTGCAAAAAATGGGTAAAAAATGTTTAAATTCTCCCAAATGGTAAGAATGGTAACCATTCTTATAGAAAAATAATTACATTATTGTAAAAATCTTTAGTTTTCCTTAAAGAAAGTGTGCATTTTGGGGATTTTTAGAAAATAGACATGAAAAGGAATGACATAAGCCAAAGATATTCTAAAATTGAAACATTTTTGTGAGCGAGGCTGCTCGCTAGATCTGATTCTCTCTTTAATTAAACGCCTACGTGGTATTGTGTAATACCCATCGTTTTGTGACCAGCGTTCGGAGTCTGTCAAAAATTGTTTCACCTTAGTAACCATATACAATAACTTACAAGGTGATGACAAATGAATTACGATACTGGTCCTTTGTAATTAATTCCATAATCACATTGAAATCAATTAATAATTTTGTTAAAAGATCGCCAAATCTTCTGTTCATTTTCTAATCGTGGCAAATTCGATCCATTCAAACGAATGAACAGGCCAGGGCAATAAGCACTTAAAAATACCAATACCACTGAGATGAACCATAGACATTACTTTAACGTGGTCTACATCAATGACGTGGGAAGGGGTAAAATTCAGGGGTAAACCTAAAAACAGGGAATGCATATATTCCACTATCCATCTAGAGTACACATTTTCCTTGACTTCTGAAACTAGTGAATTTGCATTATTTTAGGTAGGTTTGGGGAAAAAACAATCTCAAAAAATCTGAGAAAACATTTTTTGCGAGAGAATGGAATCGCTGCACTTTTTAAATATCTCCAAACTTTCTGTCATGTTAGTTAGTTTTTCATATATAACATGTATAACTGCACGCTTGGCTCTCTGATCAAATAAGCAGGATAAATTGTCTGTCACAAAATTAAAGTACAAGAAACAATGATGCCTTGACATTTTCAAAGGTTCCATTTCAGTTTCAAAGCTATTGGGTAAGGTTCGCATGACCTCAACAGTAACACAATTGACCCACTAATCAAGTTGCAGATTATTGTAATTAATTCTAAGTAAGGTTTTGTAACTTCTAGATAACTTTCTACAACTTGGATAAGTTTAAGAGTAAACTTACTATTTAGCGAAAAAAGAATGGCGTAAAACGAATGTACGGACGTCTGACCATTAATCAAAAATAGACATGCCGTCTCTGAGCAAGGTTTATTTTTTCACTCCTTGACACAATTACATTTAAGACATCACTGTCTAAGATTGTTTATGTTTGCGGTGAATCTTGAATGAGAAAAAACATTGATATGGTAAAGGGGGATGAGAAAATGCAAGTGGTGTACAATGTAAATAAAGAGTAGGCGGATGAGGCACTGAAAGTGTTTGCAAGATGTAAGATAAACATGACTTGTAATGATCAATAATTGTCATGTTGAGGAGCGATGCAGGATACGAGGGTGGTCCAGAAAGTTCACGTTCCACAATTATTGTTGTAATTTTTTATTACGTATGTTTTTTGCTTTAGAATCAGCTGCTCAATTTGAGAATTCTGTTGAAAATCCATACATATCTTCATTTCCTGTCCAGCCAAGGAGTACGGAAAATCAGGTAAAACAAAAACACCTGTAGACTGATCGAATACCTTTTAAAATATTGTAAAACCTGAGTATTTGGAACACCAGTACTGACCAATTTGTTGCTTTAAGACGGGTGTTCCTAACAGAGAGGTTTTATTAACATGTAAGCCAATGGAACTTGGTTGTTTCATCATCACAGCTGGTTTTAGTGTACAGTCAGCATTGCAAGAGCTCGCACAACTCACCGGGTGTTGTTTTATGGACAATGAAAATGATTAAGTACAACGAACATATTTTTATCATATTTTATTTTTAAATGCAGCCATAAAGACTTCATTGATGCAACTATTCTAGACGCATCTACTCGGGCTATCAACCATCTTGCTACCAAGTAGTAATTAAAATTGAAGCATCATACTTTATTTCAGCGAACGTGTGGAACAGGAAAATGTACTTGCTTAGGTCCAGTAGGGGAGCCGGTAAGTGAATATCAACTGCAATTGCAACACACAACATCTACAGCAGTTTTTACTCAGGCTTAACCACGTTATTACGGATGGTTAATCAGAAGTATACAATTTAAGACTAGTCTACCATGAATCACTTTATGTTTCAATTGAATTAATGTATACATTCTTCTCATTCAAAAGCAGAAACCTACAATTATACACTTTGCAGACTTATAAAACAATAGCTTTTTAAAAAGAAAGCTTTTTCGCAAAACTAAACTCTGCGCTCTGAGTACGTATAGTGTACACTTTACTTGTAGGGAGCAGTTGGCTTAAAGGGAGACACTGGTTATCCTGGTAGACCGGGAGGACCTGGGGCTGATGGGAAACCGGGTCTTCCGGGTAATGAGGGTCCAAGAGGCATACCGGGAGATCCAGGTGCAAAGGGAAGCCTGGTATGTTGATGAGAAAATACTAGTTAAAACACGCAAACCCCTAACTTAGAGTTAGATTTGTAAAACACAATTTAAACTAATGTTGCAGTGAGAGTAGGTCTTCATAGAGGTAGAAATTTGTTAGTGTTTTGCTATTTAATGAATTCAAATGGATAGTTCATTCATTAATTGATTTCTGATGAAGCGCATTGATGTTAGTTTACTAGATCGAAATGCACAGTTAGACATGCCCTTACTACGCTATCTAACATCATTTTAGGGACTTCCTGGTCCACAAGGCCCACAGGGTATTCCTGGCTACCAGGGGTCACGTGGTCTAACGGGAGATGTTGGTCAGAAAGGGATGTCAGGTCGGCCAGGGATCAATGGGGCACAAGGCCTCCCAGTAAGTGCAGTCAACAAGTTTTGTATTTGTTTATATTTTTTATATTTGGCAGGGTCAGAATCTAGAGCTGTACACCACGTAAGAGTTTATTTCCTTTTTAAATGTTTCAGCACATCCTCCTTGATAAGTAAGGACTAGACGCCCTCTTGGCGTCTACTAGTATCTCTTATTGTTCACTTTCGTAAACATCGCCATGGCAATTTATTATATTATTTTTGACCAAGTTTAGTGTTTATGCCATTTTAAATGTTATTTTCAAGGGATATTTGAATATTTTCCATATTACTTGGCTCTCCGACCTTGAAAACAATATTTTTATATGAGTGCCAGCTTTGCATGGATTATCGATCATTATATTTATTCATATATTAATTCATATTTATTTATTTATTCTCTTGTATCAATATTTACTTTATTCGTATGGTTTTTAGGGCAAGAGAGGATTTCCCGGATTAGTTGGACGTGATGGTGTTCCGGTAAGTAGCCTAACCACTAAACTTTTTTCAGTTCTTTTGAAATGCAATGAAAAACACTACCGTATCCCATCTTTTCCAAGGTACTTCACTATCCAAACTGTTAACACCTGGTTGCGGTTATAATTACATAAGGGTAACGTCCACAAAACGATGGCTGTATATTATAATATGTCACCACTTCTTGTTGGCGACATTGACTTGATAAAACACGATGAAATTATACCGACGCAAACGTTCATTGAAATTTGAAATTGATCCAGCCGATATTAGGAACTGGTCTATATAGTGTGCGTTATTTTCCAGGGAGCAAGAGGTCCCCCAGGATCTCCTGGTACCCCTGGCATAGACGGCTGTAATGGCGAAAAGGTAATTTTAGGTGTTTAAATCATTCAGAATATCCCCATTGGTATTTTAATTAGAAACAAACATTTGCACAAGCCGAATTCTCACCTCTAGATAGAAAATCCACTGATAACAGACCGCTATACCTAGTGTGTACCCCCCCCCCTCAATGCAAATTCAAAATACAATTGTTTTATTAAAGGGTGACTCTGGATTACCAGGAAGGGATGGTGCGCCGGGAAAACCAGTAAGTGAATTTTGTTATTGTTTTTGTAAAAATCTTCTCAAATTATTCGATTCAAACATAAATGCGAGCGATCACAATCTGTTAAGAGTATTGCTTAATGAAGTAAGAAGATTAAGTTTTTGATCATTTCTTGTTGACAACGTCGACTCCGTTGATTAGGCTTGGTGTAATGCTAAATAATGCCGAAAATGATATAAATGATGGTCAAAATCGCCAGCAGAATCGTTGGTTGAAAACGAAATACAAATGATGGTCACGATCATTGATAAAAAGCTAATGAAGATAGGAATAGGCCTACTAATACTTGGGATCGATCGTTAGTTTACGATGACACAAACGATAGTTTGTGATGTTTTTGATGATGGTAGATTAAAACTTTAAGCGGCGTATATTTGCTAATTAATAATTCAAAACACATATTCAACTGATATTTTTCAGGGCAGACCTGGTATTGGTGGTGGTGGTGATTATCCTAAAGGACAAAAAGGAGATCAAGTAAATATATATCCCTTTTACTACATTAGTATAAATGTATGTTAGGCCTTACATGATAAAATATCAAAAGTTAATCTAACCTGGTTCAATTATTTGTCATTGCTCATTAAATGAATAAATGCCAAGTACATGTCCGTATGTCTCTTAATTCAATTGTCATGGTAACATATATTGAAAAAATGTCTTTAACGTGTCAACAAAAAACGTGTTGACAATAAAAAATTAAATTCATCCTAAACAATAGGCCTATTATAGTTATGGGCTCTGAACGGAGACCATAACAATATGTCCCCATTTCTCTTCCTAATGGTTTAGTTCTGACCTAATGGTAAAAACGCATACACACGACCTGCACACGACATACCGATGAAATTATAACAAAGGCGAATGATCATACTGTCGTATATTTTAAGGGTTTTCCAGGGGAGCCTGGAGGTCTTAGCGAAGCAGCAAGAAGGGAAATCACAATTATAGTAAAGGAGAATACGAAAGGAGGAAAAGGCACCAAGGGAGAACGAGGTACGAGACTTCCAAACCATATGCAACCGTCGAAGTGTTGTCTTGAAGATGTTAAAAACAACTTACTAGGGAAATAAAAGAATAAAAACCGTATTCACTGGGGGAATCTTAATTGATTGTATTTTTTTTTTATATTTAAAATTTATTTTCATATCATTTTAAAATTTTACAATTTTAATTTATTTGGGTAAATCGTGTTTCAACGGATTTTATCGGGCTATGACGGACTGTCGGTTGGATACTCTCTTCTCCCTTTTGTTAACATTATACCGTTTTTCAAAATCCAGTCGCTCCCAACAAATGACAACAATTGGTTCCATTGCATCCCGTGAAATGTACATTCAAAATAGATTATTTAGATGCCGTATTTCAAAATTAAACCTATTAGTCTTCATGGAATAAATAATATACCAAATTGACATCCAAAGAGTATCTTATATTTCAATGTTTGTATTTTTACCTAGATGCTGTATATACTTCAAGATTATTCATTTATTTTAAGGTCAATACGGTGTTCCTGGATGGGGCTTTCCGGGTAAAGATGGACCAATAGTAAGTATAACCATATTTCCAAAGCAGTTACAGAGCCGTTATTAGAGTAACGTTTTCATGAACATGATACAGGTTTAGATTAGGTAAATATATGGATGAATTATATAATTATACCACATGAATTTGACTTTACAAAATGAGATATTTATTGATAGGGAAGGCCAGGTAAGCCTGGTCCAGTGGGAGGGTCGGGTCTACCGGGACCTCCTGGCAGAAGTGGCCCCAAAGGGGCTGATGGGAAACCAGGAACTGGTGATGGTAAACCAGGTCCTCCAGGTGAAAGAGGCCCACCTGGTGGAGTAGGTGACCCTGGTAAAGCTGGTCCACCAGGATCACCCAGTCCTCCTGGACCTCGAGGTCCACCAGGTATAGGGCTGCCGGGAGTGCGAGGAGAACCAGGTAAAAAAGGTCGATCTGGAAAACCTGGAGACCCAGGTCGACCAGGCAGTAAAGGAGCAATAGGAATTGGAAGAGTTGGGCGTCCAGGAGAGCCCGGTCCACCTGGTGAAGCAGCTAAGGGACAACCAGGCCCCCCAGGAGCACCGGGGATACCTGGCAAAAGTCTTGGTAAGCCAGGACCACCAGGAAGCAAGGGTGAACCAGGATTAGGGATAGATGGCCAACCGGGTAAACCAGGAGCTCCGGGGATTGGAAAGATTGGACAAAAGGGAGAGCCAGGGGATCCAGGAGGCAAACAGGGTCTGAGGGGATACCCTGGTGAAGTGGGGAGAAAGGGAATTGCTGGAGACCCAGGGAAGGAAGGACCTAAAGGAGAAATTGGTTCAATTGGTGCACCAGGGCCAGCCACGCCTGGAGAAAAGGGTGAGTGATTATATGTCATAATGTGAACTGTATGGTTGGTCAGTGTTGGGAACTGGATGTCTTTATAACTTCAATTCCTGGTGTAAAGTAAAGACCCCGACCATTACAACCTATGTATCTCAAATCATATCAAAGTATCTATAGCTACATTAAATTGTTTAGAAAAAACTAAAAATTACCGTTACAGTGAAAATACTGGGTCAGAGAAGAAAAATTTCTGTTGCTTCTTGGGCCTATATTAATGAACACTAATACACATTGTCAATCAATATATTTCAAGGTGATCCCGGTGATCCAGGCCCGACGGGTCTTCATGGTGAAGAGGGCAAACCGGGTAAGCAAGGGGACCCGGGAAATACTGGTCCAATAGGAAAACCAGGACCAGTGGGGTCTAAAGGAATAGAAGGAAGTCCAGGTGTGCCAGGGAAAATAGGAGAACCAGGGAAGAAGGGAGATTTTGGTTTATCTGGCGTTCCAGGAGAACCAGGAAAACCAGGCCCTGTTGGTAAAGAAGGAAAGGTCGGGAGACCAGGTGAAGAAGGCAGGCCTGGTCCACCAGGTGCAGGAGAACCTGGAGCTCCAGGTAAGCATAGGAAAAATGCTCACAATACAATCTTAAAAAATACATAAAATACAGTAATTAGACACGCCATTGACATGCACAGTCAATAAAACAGAGAGTTGTTGGAAAAGCAAATTCACCCCCTCCAAACTCTGTGTTTTCACTGGAACACGGAGTAAGGAAAGGTCGATCTACTCTCTCTTCCGGCGAATGTTGACAAGGCTTTTGTTACCCCTAGGCTTAAAAGGCGAGAAAGGTACAGGATTCCCTGGAAAACCAGGACCCCCTGGGGATCCAGGAAAGGAGGGCATAATGGGACCGACAGGCAAACCTGGTATGGGCATGCCAGGGAAACCAGGACTCAAAGGTAAAAATACATCTGAATTAGTTTTGGCGCTCAGCTAATCGCTAGGTTAACAAAGAAAAATAGTATCGGCACTACATAAAGAACATGATTATGTCATATTATTAGATTTTTGATACACGTTACTATGAAACATCATTTAGGGTCAATGGGCATTGGAATGCCTGGCAAGAAAGGACCGATGGGTCCAATGGGCCCTAGTGGACCGAATGGTCTATCAGGTGATAAAGGAGACATTGGATTGGGACTAAAAGGAGAGAGGGGACAGCCGGGAATCGGTCTACCTGGAAAAACAGGACCAAAGGGATCAGTGGGTAAGATTATACTGATGAACCCTTTGGGCTTATCCACTGTCGTTATATTATTTGATCTTGCCTTGCATTATAATTTTATGTAAATGAACAAGACCTTATGACACTCATAGAACATCTGTAACAGTTTTTGTTCAATATTTTTCGAATGCAATGGACATAAAATCTAATATTTAGTTCAGGACATTAATGGAATAACAGTATCGATGTTCACGATCATTTTTCCAAAATGCTTAGGAAAATAATGAAATATTTTAATAGTTTGTGCATAAAATAGCAATAAAATCGTCAGACGTCAGTCGACAGTTAGATTTGGGAATGATACTTTACTCAATGTGTTTACTTTTTATTTTAGGAATTGGAATGCCAGGGAAGCTAGGAAAGCCAGGGCCTCCAGGTCCACTTGGGCCTAAAGGGGAACAAGGTTTACAGGGACTGATAGGTTTGCAAGGACTAAAGGGAAATGTAGGGCCTGTAGGAGAAAGAGGGCCACCGGGAGAGCCTGGAAAATCTATAACTGGTTTACCAGGAGAACCAGGTGTGTACATCAATGTTATACAATCCAAAATGTAGAGATACATTTTGTGACGAAATTACCAGCAGCATTTACAATTGACCTCCCAATATCTTCGATATTATATCAAATGAATGTCTTATCAAGTGTGATTAAGAGCAGTAAGTGCAATAATGTTTAAATTCTTCAAAATGATAATTGCACATTTATAGAAAATGAAAAAAATCAATGTGAAATCTTTAGGAAAAAAGTTTAGCAAAGAATGATATGAGCCAAAAATATTCGTTAGAGCAATCAAACCATTTACATGAAATTTTCAATAGATCTCATTCTATCTCCGCAATATTTGAAAATGGATTCTGTATTTCACATCTAGGACCTAAAGGAAAGGAAGGTCCCATGGGACTGATTGGGTTGAAAGGAGAGCAAGGTGAGGGGAAGATAGGTCCACCAGGAATAGGAGTCCAGGGAGATGCAGGTCCCCCAGGTAAACCAGGGATCATAGGTCAGCCTGGTGTTCCAGGGGAACCAGGGAAACAAGGGCCAATAGGACAAACAGGTATATCAGCAATTCAGTTAATATTTAATTTCATAATGATATGTACACTTAAACCTGTACAAGTGGAATACTTTTGGTAAATGAAAACAGTGTTTCACTTGTGAGGTGTTCAACATACATAGGTTCAGTTTTTTAGCTCATTCTGATCTAATACTTCGCCTTAGTTGAGCTGTAAAAGTCAGCTATTAAAGGAGTGGTATCGATATGGAGAACTTTTTTAACACACGTTTCTCTTAAACTAGTCATAAAAAATCTAAAAATTTTACACATCGTCAATTTAATGGTCATCTTTTGAATGGTAATTTGAAAAAAATATATATACTTCCATCTATATTGTTTTAGAAGACACATCAAACACTTGTTTTGTTCTTGGTATCATGTTTCCAGAGTGAAATGAAACATCTTTCCGAACCTCATTGGAACAAAACGATATAAACACAACATGTTTAGGTCTCTCAATATTGTAATTGTATGAAGGAAATTTTGGTTGATTTAAAAAAAGTATCTTGTTAATGAAATAAAAGGTTTATCTTGATTTTTATCTATTTTGGGGCGATTTTGTTTTAATTTTTTGAATACTTTTTTAAAATCAACCAAAAATTCCTTTGTATAACTATAATATTGAGAGGTCTAAAAACATGTTGTGTATGCTATTTTGTTCCAACAAGGTTCGGAAAGACATTTTATTTCATTCTCAAGAATTGGTAGAAAGGAGCAAAAACAATTGCACTAAGAAAACAAAAAATGTTAACAAAAACAGTTATATAAAATATTTCTAAATAATTTTCGCATTAAATTGTTGTCAATCAGTCAACATTACATAAAATACCGTGTTATTTTACAGAATGTTTTCAATAATTGGTTTATGAGAAAAACATTGTTGAATTCAGTTCTCCATATCGATACCACTCCTTTGCTTGTGTATTGGATGGATTTTTTAATGTTTCTTAAATATGTCCCCAGGGGAAAATTCGTACGATCCGCGATCCGATCCGGCTAAATTTCGTCATGGTAATGATGCATTGTGGGATTAATCCAAGAATTAATCCAAAAATCGGTGAATTCGTACAATCCTGGGATTAATCTCAGGATAAATCTCAATCCACCTCTTGAGGTAGATTACTTTTTGGATAAATATTATCCGAATTCCAATGCAAATTGGATAAATCTTGGGGATTCCCCCTCATAATCCTCGGATCATACGAATTCACCAAATATTTATCGGATTAGTAATCCAAGATTTATCCCAAAAGATAAAATTTATTCGGATTAGATTGGGGATCGTACGAATTCACGGCCCCTGGTCTTCCCGTTGCGAATTCTTGAGTGCGAGAATAGGGAGAGGGAGCAGGGGTTGAGAGAGGAGGATGGCACTGAGCGACACAAGCACTCCATTTCTTTCTCTTTAACTCTTTAACCATTTGTTTAGATGTTAGGAGGGATGCAAGGCCTTGGTGCAAAATTGAAAATTAACATTTACATTCTCATGCCTTATGTTCATTAGGTCCATCTGCATACATCTACACAACTCACAGCCAGAGTCTTAAAGTCCCTGAATGTCCACTGGGCCATAGTAAATTATGGGATGGCTATAGTTTGTTGCACACAGAAGATGATGGCAGATCATATGTACAGGATCTTGGTAATTAAATAGACGAGGCATAATATACAAAATGCCACAACCTACCATTTGTTTCAAACGCAAAACTCCGAACTTGATCACAATTTTTCAAATAACATCCCCTAATATATTAGATCTACATAAAACCATAATATTTAATAATTATAATTACTGCAAAGATTGATTTTTTGCTATATTTTCGACATTGCAATTAGAAAAACAAATGAATTGATTGAAAAATTGAGTTCTTTTACTGATTGATTTCTCAACTTATAGGTACATCTGGATCATGTTTGTTGAAGTTCTCACCTATGCCATTCCTTTTCTGTAACGTTGGTCGCATGTGTCGTTATGGAAGTCGAACAGCAACTTCATACTGGCTGTCTTCCCCACAAAGTACTCCCATGATGCCTGTTAGTGGAGATGAGATCACAAAACATATTAGTCGTTGCTCAGTATGCCAGTCACCTGGCCCACTCCTCACTGTTCACAGTCAAAGTGAAGATGTCCCACAGTGCCCCAGTGGATGGTCTGAGATGTGGACAGGGTACAGTTTTGTGATGGTAACTTGGTTTTACTTATCTCCAAATTACTTTCAAAAACCTTTCAAGAACTACTGATAAAAACATGTGATCATGAATACATCTACACACGTTTGTGATAAAAATGCATTCTACCTACAACGCGTGAAATAAATGGGTACGATAAAAAGAAAAATCATACCTTCAAGGTTCCGACATTTTGTTACCAAAACGATCTGTTTTGGTAACCAGCATACTCGAGTGGAGTACCAGTGTAGCTCGCATATAAAATATTTTCACCGTGAATATCGTTGTTTCTCATGACTCAGATAATTTTATACTGTTTCCATGTTCCTATTTTTCCAAAGATTTGTAACTTTTGAAAGCAAAATTTTAAAACTGGACTTAATAATAGCCCAGGAAAATAATTGGACTTGTAAAATGAGTGAATACACTTCATGGCAATGAACTTTTGGTACCGTTTGAAAGCTGACACAATCAGCTTTTTGAATCCACCGGTTGTCAATTAAGGTTTTGAAGTTGTTCAAAATGCTTCTTTCCATAGTAACCATTTATAGTTACTGTTTTTAAGAGATATTAGGTTGGTTAAGATACACGTTTTTAAATGTACGTGAGCGTGTAATATTTCGACCCCCGGAGATTCACTGTCCCGCTCACAATTGACATTCCCAAGGACCTAATTACAATCACTTTCCGTATACTAACTAAGTAAACACTACAAGTGGGAGAAGTATTCCATAAAGGACCATAATTGTACACATTCACGAACGAGTTTTTAACTAACCTCCCTAATATGAAAGATTAAACTTTCAGCATGCAGTAGGTGCCACAGCAGGTGGCCAACAGCTCGCCAGTCCTGGCAGTTGTCTTGAGGATTTCCGTGCCCGACCTTACATCGAATGCAACTCTAAGGGAGAGTGTCACTATTTCTCTGATAAACACAGCTTTTGGCTGGTCACCATGGGGGTTGAACCTTTTGAGACTAAAGTTATCCCCGATACTCTGAAGAACATCCGGCTACGTGATAAGATAGGACGATGTAAAGTTTGTGTTCTAAACCCTCAATTGATGGACTTTACTATTACACAGCCAGATCCTGTTACCTCCACATAATTTACAATATTAACTGTCAATCTCCAAATCAGCATTTACATTGTAAATAAATTGCATGAGAATTTACGCTTGAAATATTTTTATAGAATTTTTTGGTAGAATCTAGGATATAGAACCTAAACTGTAGCAATACTTAAAATACACTATCGGTCTCAATGCTCTAGAACTTGTGAATATTCATTTGGGAGAAGTAGTAATTGTCCTCCTATCGAATCCTATGGAACATTAACATAATTACAAAATGATTTAGGACCTAATATACTGTTGCATCCTGAGAGTGTGAAGCATTTTGTCGTTGAACACCATATTAACGGTCTCTAGAAGATTGCCTCATGTCTACTACAGTACCATTCATACTACAGTACTATTCTATATATTATAGGAGTACATTATTTATTTTGTATATTGTAGCAATTGTACAGAATAAATATACTTCATTAAATACTAATACACTTCATTTAATGTCAATAATTTCAGTCTGAATGCTGTCTAGAGAACATTGGTTTACGAGCAAACCAAGAGTTTTAAGTGTCCTATCGAATCCTATGGAATATTAAAATAATTACAAAATAATTTAGGATCTATACTGTTGTATCCTAAGAGTGTGAACCATTTTGTCATTGAAAACCATATTAACGGTCTCTAGAAGATTGCCTCATGTCTACTACAGTACCATTCATACTACAGTACTATTCTATATATTATAGGAGTACATTATTTATTTTGTATATTGTAGCAATTGTACAGAATAAATATGTTCTATATTAAAACAGTATTTCATGAATATACTTCATTTATGTCAATAATTTCAGCCTGAATGCTGTCTAGAGAAGATTGGTTTACGAGCAAACCAAGAGTTTTAAGTGTCTGATTAATAAAGTACAAGTATCTTCCATTTTATTTTGTTGTCTATTAGAATTCGATTCAAGATGTAGATTTTCTCCTTTTCATTTTCCGTTTATTTGCTTTAACATTGTCTGATTTTGCTAGTAAGGCACTTGTTGATTTAACTGTGATTTCTGGAGGATGACTTGTTGGAGTGGACATGACATCTTTTTTCTGAAATGGAAAATCCAATTCAATGTATAATGCTAATCTAAAAAAACTATAAACAATATTATCACAATCTGATTCAATCAAACCATTATACAGTGAAAACATATGAACTTCATTATGATTTCAAAATTACTAAAACCCACCTTCTTCTTTTTCTTTTTTGCTGATTTTTTGTGTGATTCAGTCTTCTGCTCATTCTCAGAGTGAGGCTCAGGTTCAGAGTGAGGCTCAGGTTCAGAATGAGGCTTGATGTTAACATGTGGTTCTGTGAATTCAGATTCTTCCTGAGGTTGGGATTCAGTGACCTCCTCTGGTACACCACTGTCATCGGAGTCTTGTATAATTGGAACATCCGAGTCACTATCCTCTCTAACTTCTTGTGTAGGAATACTTGGGGTGGTAGCAACAGGGCCTTGGATTATATTTGGTGTGTACTCATATGATGATGATTCATCAATACTGGAATACATGTATGACATGATTATTAGTAAGTAGTTTGAAAAAAATCTATTACACAAAGTAAGAACTACAGGGTGTCCCCAAAAAATGCAATCCTCTAATTATGGTGTATGGTATGGTATTTATTGGTAAACCTCATTGAACAAATTTTTAACAATAAAATTAACATGATCAAAAAGATATCAGGCACTTGAACATCTACTTTTTAAAATAAAGTAAATATGACAAAGTCACTGGCTCTCAACAAATTATTGAACCACATTAGCCATGCAACAAGATGGCCTGGTTTCCAGAAGCAGATTTATGTAAGATGTAAGATATTTTCTTTTCTCCATTTAAACCCATTTTTTGCACAATTGACATGGTGACTCGGTAATACGTTGAGACCCAGTGACAGTGAGGCTGGGAGATATTGGTGTAAGCACTGACGGTAGTCGTACAACGTACCTGGAGGATAACTTCATTGTCTGCCAAGTGTAGTCCACAAACGTTGACTGCTGGAGCAACTTGCTTAATCTCTTCATGTGCCTCTCTGTATGCGAGAAAATAATCATATGTTTGAGAAGTGACATAAATGTGTTTAGAAAATACATACAATTTATTGATATGGTCTGAAAGTTCAATCCAAGAAATTAATTTATTTCTTGCCAAATGACCTTTTTATTCTTATGAGCAATCTCTTATAAGACATTAAATGTTAAATTCTTTGACACAAAGAGATTTTTCCATCAAAAACATAACATGTAAGTTTAAAATATACATATAGCACATTTTATCTAAATAATTTCCTTTCACTCTATCAAATATCAACTTTTACAATCAAACTAATGAACACACACCTGTGTATGGCACTAAGCCTTCAATTGTTGACTTCATATTAGGAAACTTCATCAATTCTTCTGGGGTGCGATGCTTAAGAATGATTGATAGAACAGTCTGGGCCTCATGACAGTGCTTACTGTTAGTGTTCCATTTGACACAGAATCTCAATACAGCATCTGTAACAATATATACAATACTACATCTGTAAGATAATGCATAACAATACTATGTTGGCAACAATAATGCACTACAACAATACTACATCTGTAAGATAATGCATAACAATACTATGTTGGCAACAATAATGCACTACAACAATGCTACATCTGTAAGATAATGCACAACAATACTATGTCGGCAACAATAATGCACTACAACAATACCCCATCTGTAAGATAATGCTCAACAATACTATGTTTGCAACAATAATGCACTACAACAATACCCCATCTGTAAGATAATGCACAACAATACTATGTTTGCAACAATAATGCACTACAACAATACTCCATCTGTAAGATAACGCACAACAATACTATGTTTGCAACAATAATGCACTACAACAATACTACATCTGTAAGATAATGCACAACAATACTATGTATGCAACAATAATGCACTACAACAATGCTACATCTGAAATAGCAATAACACACAGCTGTATTACACCTGTAACAAAATGCATAGCAATATCTGAAAAAAATAATGCACATCAAAACTATGTCTGTTAGAAAATGCCACGCAAATAACCTAATGAATTTATATCAATGTGAAACAACAAGAACATACAGCTATTAATGCACAGAAAAACAACATGTGCAATTGTAATTCAGAACAATATTTGTAAAAATAATGCACAGCAATACTAAATGCTTTATTATCCCGACACAAATGAATCATTCAATCGATTCATCCTACAGGTGTCTCATATATACCACCTGATAATCCAACCAAATATATGACATGTTTAAGTTTAAGAGAAAATACAACTGTAAAAGTAACTTACCCAGCTGATCGTCCCTAAGTTTCTTAATTGTTTTCTCTAAGTCAGCATGGCCATTGGGCTCCTGGAGTATATCTGTAATAACACCATTATGGTAAAGTACTGAATATAAATTGAACAGCAATATTTTTTTATTTTTACACGACACATTAATTATCATTATGTCAATGGATATATTTCTGTAATGTTGACATTTTATCAGAAGTTATGCAAAACCTGATAACACATTTTATACAGTATTTGCACAGAATCCTATGGACATCAAAATACCAACCTTTGATAATATTGAGGAGTCTAAATGGCTGTTCCAGTGTAATTGCCAGACCTATAGCTTTCAGATATTTCTTCTGTTGGAGTAGATTCAGCAATTCTTGTTCCCTGAAAAACAAATGATGTAGCACAATGCATCAGTATACAGAAATAAAAGTTCATCCTGGTCAATTTGAAGCAAGCTGAAAAAATACCTTTTTGACCTTTTTTGTCCTTGAAGGTCAAACCTCAAATATAAAGTCAGATTTGAGGATCTGAGAACTTGAAAAAAAATTTGAAAACTTTGAAAAAATTGAAGTCAGTCTAAAGAATGTTTGTTAGTTATTGGAAGTTGTAAGAATTTGATACAGACACCACCCACTAATTTCCAACCACCGACCGCTGACACAAAAAACGGAGACTATTACAGTACGTCACCTCTTTTTAGTGCTTTTGTCAAGTCAATAAATTAAACACAATAGATTCCCAAGCAGCAAATAAAGAATGAATGACCCTTAATTCTTTTCATTATTGGCACATACTCCAAAATGTGTTCTTTATTTATACATGGCAACACTCAATCTTTTTTATGACATTTGTGCTTCCATATTTCTATGGTTCTTTAAGAAATAACTGACCCATACTTTTGAATGGTCAGACCAACTTGTGTGAAATGTCATCTTCATGAATATTGTCCCAGGTTCTTGATAAACAACAACAAACTGATCAATAATTTTAAATGGGCAATAAAAGCCTCTTTGTGCCATAACAAAAGAGGAAATAAAATATTATAGCTATTTGGAACACATGATACAATATTAAGAGTCATTTACACATTAATGAATTGAATAAAAATTACTTCAGCGAAAAAATTCTGAACACACATTGTAATAATCTGTTTTTGTTGCTGATGAGACAATGTGCTTCAAATGTTGATTAAAATTCAACAATTATAAATACATGTACTCAGTACAACTCAGTACAACTCAGTACAACTCCCTAACAGAATTCCAACTGATCTATAATCAAGTCATTTGGACCACTGGTTGAGCCATGCATTTTAAAATACTATTGATTGTACTTCTCATCACGCTTGTGGACAGCATAGAAGCAAGGAAAAAGAAAGGAAAGAAGGGATCAGGAAATCAGATTCCTATGTGCAAGAAAACTGATATTGAAAGTCTTGGAAACAAACTGAACATTCTGAAAACTGAAACGGAAAGTTGCTGCAAGATGAGAGATGAAGGTATGACACTGAGCATTAATGTGATAGAGGCAAGGAATAATGCAACCAAAGCAAGGCAAACCATTGAAGATGTGCAAACTGATGTTGAAAAGGTGAAGATTGACATTGAAGAAGTGAAAAATGATGTCAAAGCAATGAAAGGTGATTTATCTAGAATAATTGACCTCATAGAAGATATGCCGACTTCACAGTGTGAATCAAAAGGTAATTCATTTACTTTAAACATTCATTAAGCAGTTTAGTGCACAGCATAATGATTTTGAATAGAGGATCAGGTCAACGGGCTTTTTTGGACTGTATGTTTGAATATATGATGATCCATTTTTCACTATTCCAA